AAAGTCTGCAAGACTCCATCTCCAAAGTAACTCGCAAAAAGCCAGGCTGGAGATGTGGCTCAAGTGTAGAGCACCAGCCAAGCAAGCTGAGAAATCTTGAGTCCCAGGTTTCAAAGTCTACTACCAGTAGTGGGAGGTGGGGGGAGAAAAGAGAAGAATGGATTTGTTACACACTAAAGGATGAAGGCCGGGGTTGTCTAGGCGCTGGTGTCTTCCCCGTGTCTCGTGGTGTCACAGGGCCGTGTCGGACAACAAGGTAAGACAGAATCACAGAGCGTGAGCCGGGCGCCGGTGGCTCACACCTGTAATCCTAGCTACTCAGGAGGCTGAGATCTGAGGATCTCGGTTCAAAGCCAGCCTGGGCAGGAAGGTCTGTGAAACTTTTTTTTTTTTTGGGTTCGGTCATGGGGCCTGAACTCTTGGCCTGGGCGCTGTCCCTCAGGTCTTCAGCTCAAGGCTAGCGCTCTACCACTTGAGCCACAGCTCCACTTCTGGCTTTTTTCTTTTTGCTTTATGTGGTGCTGAGGAATCGAACCCAGGGCCTCAGGCATGCAAGGCAAGCGCTCTACCATTGAGCCACCTTCCCAGCCCAGTCCGTGAAACTCTTATTTCCAATAAACTACCAGAAAACCGGAAGTGGCGCTGTGGCTCTAGTGATAGAGCGCTAGCCTTGAGCTGCAGAGCTTGGGATTGTGCCCAGGCCCAGAGTTCAAGCCCCAAGGCCGACCAAAAAAAAAAAAAAAAGAATCACAGAGTTTGGGTGGGAGGCATTAGGGCTCAGTGGCCCATCACTGATGCCATCTTTGAGAGCCTGAAGATCCTCTCCCTCCCTTCTCTCCCGTGTGTGTGTGTGTGTGTGTGTGTGTGTGTGTACACGCAAGCATGCACTGGTACTGGGACTTCAACTAAAGGCTTATACACTATCCCTTGGCTTATATGCTCAAGGCTGGCATTCTGCCACTGAGCCTCTTATCTCCAATTGGAGATAAGAGTTGCCTGGATTTCCCTGCCCAGGCTGGCTTCAAACTGAGATCTTCAGCAGTCTCCTGAGTAGCTAGGATTACAGGCCTGAGCTACTGGTACCTGCTGACCCTCTCCGTGTGTGTGTGTGTGTGTGTGTGTGTGTGTGTGTGTGTGTGTGTGTGTGTGTGTGAGACTCTGGGCGTTGCTAGGGTGATGCTCTACCACTGAATCACACCACACCCCCAGCCCTGGGGTCTTCTTTTAATATGGTCATAAGAGTACATATAGGCTTTGCATCCAAAGAGCTTCAAGTTCAAGCACTACTAAATGGTGTGTATGCTGTAAAGTGTCAGTGTTCTTGTGAACACACATGGACTGTCCCTGTTGTGTGTGTGGTTGTTTGGGAAAGGAGTTCCACATACGGTGTTCTATAAATGTGATTTTCTTCCTTTATTTTATGCTGGTATTGGGGCTTGAACTCAGGGCCTCAGTGCTGTCCCTAAACTTCTAATGCTCTACCACTTGAGCCACAGCGCCACTTCCGGCTTTTTCTGCTTATGTGGCCTCATGCATGTGAAGCAAGTACTCTACCACTGAGCCACCTTCCCAGCCCTAAGGCTCCTTTTTGATAACTGTTTTTGGTCTCCTTTCTGCTGCTGTAAGGAAAGACCCATGGCTGGTGCAGTGCACAAGAGGTTTACTTAGCTCACACTGTTGGAGGTCTGCCACCCTCAGAGTGGGTGGCATTACCATGGTGGGAATGAATGCTGAAGAGATTGAAGAGATAACATGGGTAGATGGGAAAACTGGAGAGCAAGAAGGGCTGGTCTTGCTTGTTTGATAATCACTCACCACGCAGGAATTACCTTACTTACTTCCTTCAGGCAGCTGTGAAGAACCTAGTGTCCTTTTACTAGGCCCCACCTTTTTTTTTTTGCTGGTCCTGGGGCTTGAATGCTGGGCCTGGGCTGTTTCTGATCCTTTTGTGCCCAGGGACAATGCCACTTCTGACTTTTTCTGTGATTAATTGGAGGTAAGAGTCTCACAGACTTTCCTGTCCTGGCTGGCTTTGAATTGTGATTCTCAGATCTCAGCCTCCTAAATAGCAGGATTACACATCTTTCTTATCAAGCCTTTAGAACTGGAGGAGATCAGTTTCCAACCCTTTATTGATTTAGTTGGCACCAGGGTTTGAACTCTGGACTGAATGTTTATGAGACAAACCCTCATATCACTGAGCCATGCCTCCAGCCCTCATTTTTGTGTGCTGGTTTCAGTCCAGGAGTCTTGCTTCCTGTTTGGACCTGGTCTGCAATGTTACATTTCCTGTGTAGCTATCATGTTCAAATCCAGCTCTCTGTTGAGAAGATCTCTCCGCCTTTTCTCCATGGGCTGGCCTCAAATTGCAATCCTCTAGGATTTAGCCTCTCAAGTAGCTAAGATTATAGGTATGAGCCACCATGCACCAACTCTAGTAAGAGGCTCCTAGAGGGACTGGGAAGATGGCTCAGTGGTGGAGCACTTGCCTTGCATGCGTGAGGCCCTGGGTTCGATTCCTCAGTACCACATAAGCAAAAAGAAAAAAGCCGGAAGTGGCGCTGTGGCTCAAGTGGTAGAGCGCTAGCCTTGAGCTGAAGAGCTGAGGGACAGTGCCCAGGCCCAGAGTTCAGGCCCCATAACCGGGCCCCCCCCCAAAAAAAAGAGGCTCCTAGGGATGCCATCCACTCTTTGTGGTGGGTTTTGCAGTGTACATGGATGGCATAGCTAAAAGCATTTTTAGCTCTGTGTATGTATCTGTGTGTCTGTGTGCCATACCTAGGCTTGAACTCAGGATCTAGGCACCGTCCCTTAGCCTTTCACTCAAAGCTGGCACTCGACCAACGGAGCCACAACTTCACTTTGGCTTTTTGTGGTTGATTGGAGATAAGAGTATCATAGACTTTCCTGCCTGGGCTGGCTTTGAACCACAACCCTCAGATAGCCTCCTGAGTAGCTAGGATTACAGGCGTGAGCCTCCGGTTCTCTTGTACCAGACTATTTTTAGCTTCTTGAAAGCATTTCTTAACTGTTCTCTTTTGCTGAGGTTTTTTTTTTTTTTTTTTTTTTTTATCAAAGTAACATTTGTGGCGGTTTTCTTAATGATAAAAACAGTGCCTGTTCACAATGAATCATCTAGAAATACAGACTAGCACTCAAAAGGAAATGAAAACTAACCACAATCTCACTCAAGAGAAGCACTGTCAATATTCTGATATATCTCTTTCCAGGAACGTGTAGTGGTGGGAGGGAGTGCAGGAGGGAGACAGAGGAAGGAACACACACATATATGGGGGAGGAGAAATAATGGAAAACAGCAGGAACATTTTCATATATACATATATTGTTTAAATTTAGGTAAAATTTAGTTATTTTTCAAAAATATTTCAGTTCATGGAAAACTTATTGTTGTGGGGCTTGAATTTGGGGGCGGGGGCTCAAGGCTCGCACTCTACCCCTTTGAGCCACATCTCTACTTCTGCTTTTCTGGTGGTTAATTGGAGATGAGTCTCATGGACTTTCCTACCTGGGCTGGCTTTGAATTGCCATCCTCTAAATCTCAGTCTCCTGAGTAGCTAGGATGACAGGCATAAGCCACCAGTGCCTGACGAAAACTAATTTAAAAAGTTCAGTATTGGGCTGGGCGCTACTCAGCAGACTGAGATCTAAGGATCGCAGTTTGAAGCCTGCTGGGGCAGGAAAGTCAAGACTCTTGTCTCCAATTAACTACCAACAGGCTAGAAATGGAGCAGTGGCTCAAGTGGTTGTACTAACCTTGAGTCAGAAGGCTCACAGACACCACCCAAACCCTGAGTTCAAGACCCAAGAACTGTACACACACAAAAAAACATATCCCCGTAACATTGTATGGATGTATAAAATGTCACAGTGAAACATCCCCTTGTACAACTAATGTATGCCAATAAAAAGTATTAAAAAGATCGCTTTAATAACATCTACAGTGTTCATGTATACGATATGACGTTGGGTACAACACTTTGTCCCCTGAATACGGACAGTTTTATTTTTTTGCATTTAGGGTGACAGTATAGATACTGGTTAGTACCTCATTGGTTTTCACGGTTGGTTTTGTGCTGGTTCTGGGTCTTGAACTGGGGGCCTGGGTGCTGTCTCTGAGCTTTGTTTTGCTTGGGTCTAGCGCTCCACCCCTTGAGCCGCAGCTCCACTTCTGGCTTTCCGCTGGTTAACTGGCGGTAAGAGTCTCGCGGACTTTCCTGCCCGGGCTGGTCTCGAACCGCGATCCTCAGATCCGGGCCTCGGGAGTGGCCAGGGTCCCAGGCGTGAGCCCCCGGCGCGGGCTCTGGCAACACTGTGTCATTTTTCCGCCGCGCAGGCCAAGCTCCAGGGCAGAGGGAAAGAGGAGCAGGAGGGGCCGGTGTGGCCGGGGACCCGGGCGCCGGTGCCCGCTCCTCCCACGACCCCCGCGGGCTGGAGCCACACACCGTTCCGTTCACCCGGCCGGGCCGCCCCGGGAACGGGGCGCGGGGTGCCGGCGCGGGCTCAGGGGTGGAGCCGTGGAGCAGACGTGACGTTCGGGAGGCGTCTGGCCCGCAGCCGTGGGAGGACACCGGTGACGGTGTAGAAGCGACAGGAACCGCGCCGCGGTCCCACCTGCGCTCCCACCTGCGGCTCCGCCGGCGACCTTACTTGGGCGGGGCAGGGGCGGGGCTCACGCACTACTCAGCCAATTAGAACTCTGGATGCGGCGCCCGCCTCCTCCCGCAGAGGTGACGCATGCGCACTCGCCCGAAGCGCTCCTCCGGGGGGGCCCCCTCCCACCGGGGGCGGTGCTGACGCTCGCGCCGACGCTCCCGACGTCGGGCACGTTGACGCCGGCGACGCGCCGCCGGGCCCGCTCCTCCGCGCCAGCCAGTGTCCGGCCGCGGGCCGGCCTTCGTGACTGGGGCGGCGGGCCCCGGGCCGCGTCGAGGGGCGGGCGCGGACGCCGCCGCGGGCTGCCTTCGTCGGCCCCCCGAGCTCGCCCGCAGCGAGCGGCTGCCGCGGGGCCTCCGCGGAGCCCCCGCGCCGCTCCCGCCGGCGAGCAAGGTGAGGAGCGGGGGACGGGGCAGCCGGGGCCGGGCCGGGCGGCCGCGCGCTCGCGAGCGTCCCCGGGCCGGGAGGCCGGGCGCGGGGCCCGGAGCGCGACCTCGGGGCCCGGCGCCCCCGGGACCCCCCGCGCCGGGGCGGGGCCGCACCTGCGGCGGGCGGCGGGGCCCGGGCTCCGCGGCGCCGGGGCGGGGCGGGCGGCTGGAGGTCACCGGCGTCAGGTGCGCCGACCCCGGGCCGCCGTCCCCGGGGTGGGGGGGTCGGCCCTGCCCGGAAGCGCCGGCGGCGCCCGGCGCCCCTCCGCGGCTCGGCGTCGGCCCGAGGCCCCGCGCCCGGCCTCCGGCGACCCCCCGGACCCCCCGGCGGAGCCTCCTCACCCTCCGTCCCTCGCTGCACGCGGACGTGTCAGGTCGGGGGAGCGAGCGCCCACGCCAGCCCCGCGAAGACGCCGCTCCGGAGCCCGGCCGAGCGCGCCGGAGCCCGCCAGGTCCTTCCCGGGAGACACCTGATGGAGTCCGTGCGCCGGCGCGTCCGGCCGCGCGCGCCGCGCACGGGGACCGAAGGGGTGTTCAGACCCCCCCCCCCCCCGCCCCCCGCACTGGGAAACGGGGGAGAAGGGGGTGGCGGAGGCCTTCAACCACTTCAGCGTCCGCTCCCGGGGTTGGCTCCTCCTGCGAGGGGTGGCCTGGCCTGGTCCTTGCCGTGTCCGCCCGTTTTCTTACCGTCCTGGAGTCCTGTTTGCATCTGAAGCCTAACATTGCTGAGGACAGCCAGGCGGTCAGCCTGGCTTGGTGTTGGTCCTGGCTCTTGAACAAGGGCCAGGGCACTTGTCCCTGAACCTTGCACTCAAGGCTAGCACTCTTAAGCACTCAAGCCACACCCCCATTTCTGGCTTATTGATGGTTAATTTAAATAAAGTCTCTCAGACTTTCTGTCCAGGCTGGCTTTGAACCGCTATCTTCAGATCTCAGTCTCCTGAATAGGAAGGATTGCAGGCATGAACCACCAGCGCAGGCTGTCTGCCTTTTACTTATTAGCTGCAGATACTCTGAAGGCTGCAGGCGACTTGGATCCTGCACTTAATGATCCCATTTGGGTCTTTTCTTTCAAGATGATGTGCGAGGTGATGCCAACCATCAGTGAAGCAGAAGGCCCCCCAGGAGGAAGTGGGAGCCATGGGTCAGGCTCCCCATCACAGCCAGATGCAGACTCCCATTTTGAACAACTCATGGTGTCCATGCTAGAGGAAAGGGATCGTCTCCTGGACACGCTGAGAGAGACTCAAGAAACACTGGCATTAACCCAGGGGAAATTACATGAGGTGGGACACGAAAGAGACTCTTTGCAGAGACAGCTCAACACTGCGCTTCCACAGGTATGCACGTGTTCAACCTGAAACTACAATGTTCTCCCACTGTCTGTATCTGGTGGTCTCTTGTTAATGTGTTAGCTGAGTGTGTGGTATAACCATTTGTAAGATGGTGGTTTGTGATGTTGGTAAACACACATAAAGTTACTTCTTAGAAAAGCTGGATGGCTGGGAAGGTGGCTCAGTGGTAGAGTGCTTGTCTCACATGCATTAGGCCCTGGGTTCGATTCCTTAGCACCACATAAGCAGAAAAAGCTGGAAGTGGCACTATGGCTCAAGTGGTAGAGTGCTAGCCTTGAGCCGAAGAGCTCAGGGACAGTGCCCAGGCCCAGAGTTCAGGCCTCATGATTGACCAAAAAAAAAAAAAGAAAAGAAAAGCTGGAGTCTTCCAAAGTCATGTGCCTAAAATCTGGGAAAGTATTTTGGAGATTTTATAAAAAGGTCCCAGAGCAGAAGTAACTATGCTACGGGTGTCTTCCATTGTGTTGTCTTACATCTTTTCTTACTAACTGTGGACTTCTGTGCACTGTATCTCAGGGACTGGGTGTGTCTTTACCATTAGCTATATCTCGTGGATTTTCATTTTCCTAAATAAATACAATATATGAATTGGATTGGCTTCACAGAAAAAGTATTTCCACAGCACACCTTTATCAGAACACTTGTGATTTATTGCTCAGGGTGCATAAAAGATGGAACCTCCTTCTTGGTGCAACTGAAGCTGTTCTCTAAGTATGTCACATTGGGCCCAGTGTCGTAGTGTTCTCTAAGTATGTCACGTTTGGACCAGTGTTGGTGAGGGGAGAAAGTGGTAGAGATAAGTACAGGGTGAACAGCTCACGGAGCAGGGGGAGATGAGTAGGTTACTTGAAAGTTTGTGAACTGTCCTGGCGGATTTAGAGTAGATGTTCTTGATGGTGTATTCAAGTAGACCTGAATAAGCATGCATTTATATTCACAGTGGGTCCTGGGTGATAAATTAGCAAGTGAATGATTACTAGCCTTAATGCACTTCTTGGCTTTGGTCAATTCTACTGAAAGATTGATAAGGCATATATTTGAATTTCATTTTTAGTAACAACCTGTTGTTCTATCTGCTTCTTTTTTTGTTAAAGCGTTTTGTTTTTTTTTTTGGGTGGGTCGTGGGGTTTGAACTCTGGGCTTGGGCGCTGTCCCTCAGCTCTTCAGCTCAAGGCTAGTGCTCTACCACTTGAGCTACAGCGCCACTTCCGGTTTTCTGGTGGTTTATTGGAGATAAGAGTTTCACGGACTTTCCTGCCCAGGCTGGCTTTGAACCGTGATCCTCAGATCTCAGCCTCTTGAGTAGCTAGGATTACAGGCGTGAGCCACCAGCACCCAGCTTAAAGGCGTTTTTTTAAAACTGAAATCTTACAAATTAAAGTCTGTCTAGGTCAGATTTTAATTACCACAATCTTATAAGGATTGGCAATTTATGTATGCTTTTTTTTGTTTGTTTTCGGTCGGTCGTGGGGCTTGAACTCTAGGCCTAAGCACTGTCCATCAGCTCCTCAGCTCAGTGCCACTTCTGGTTTTCTGGTGGTTTATTGGAGATAAAAGTTTCACGGACTTTCCTGCCTGGGCTGGCTTTGAACCGTGATCCTCAGATCTCAGCCTCCTGAGTAGCTAGGAAGACAGACGTGAGCTCCGGTGCCTGGCTTGGCAATGTATGTTTTTCCAGGATTTTGTTGTACTTATTTGTAAATTTCTGGTAGTTTTGTTTTCGTAATTGTAATTTCCCCCCAGTCCTGGGGTCTGAGCTCAGCACCTTTTGCTCGCTGTGTAGGTGATCTACAGCTGAGGCAGACCTACAGTCCAATTCTGCTCTAGTTACTTGTGAGCTAGGGTCACACTTAGTGCTAGGCACTGCCACTGTAACCACCTGTTGGTGTAGAAGGAGTCTTGGGAACTTTTTTACCCACACTGTCCTTTCTGTATCAGCCTTTCAAGTAGGTATGCTTGCAGGCATGAGCCACCATTGCCTGGCTATGGTAATATATCGTAATTCTGAAGTGTTTAATACTTACTGTCTATGGTAAGGTAGTTCTGGGGAGGAATGGGCATCCAGGATGTGGCAGGGAAGTGATAGGAATTTTGTGCAGTTAGTCTTGGCAGTGGGTATTGGCTGAGTAGCTGGTTGCCTGGTGATTTGTTTCTGGCTGCTGCTCAGTGAAGCAGCTTGTAAATGCCTCTGAGAGTGGCTGACGTGGTGATGATGATGGCTCCCATCACACCTGAGCTCCTGAGTCCAGCATTTCAGAAGCACAGGAATGTGACCTCTTGAACCCTACCACGGTGACACCTGTGAGACTTCACAGATCAAGAGATGAGATGTTATCAGGTGCCGGATTTAGTCCCGAGAACTGTCCCAAGTTGTCAGCAGGGTTCTGGTCTGTACTGTTGATGACCTTTGCCTGCTGGTGATGGAGGTGGAAGGCTGTGTACTCTTTCTTGGTCTGTCAAGGAGCACTGTGTGTGAGGATCAGCTGTGCTCCCCCAAGTGTGCCTGCTGTCCCACTGGCAGGTCACCCAGCACACAGACGTGCCATGCTTTCTTTCCCTGGCACTCATCAGGTTGCGTCCAGTCTTGGTTGATGCTGCCATGAGTGTTCTTTCTTTTTTTTTGTCCGTTGTGGGGCTTGAACTCTGGGCTTGGGCGCCGTCCCTGCGCTCTTCAGCTCAAGGCGAGAGCTCTACCACTTGAGCCACAGCACCACTTCCAGTTTTCTAGTGGTTTATTGGAGATACAAATCTCACGGACTTTCCTGCCCAGGCTGGCTTTGAACCAAGATCCTCAGATCTCAGCCTCCTGAGTAGCTAGGATTACAGGTGTGAGCCACCGGCACCCGGCTCTGTTTCTTTCCTTTAGAGGGGTACAGATGGGTAGGAATTTCCACCAGGTTTGTTCAGAGGAGTAGAATTGCAGAATGATAGTTATGCTTGCTCAACCTTGTGGGGAATTGTCAGAAATGACAGTTTGGCACTTTATACCACTACCAATAGAAGTGTGTGTGTGTGTGTGTGTGTGTGTGTGTGTGTGTGTGTGTGTCCGTGTGTGTGTCCGTCCTCTCCTGGTGGTGTTTAGTGGGAGAAGGCTCAGCATGGCTGACCTTGTTGTCCCCTTGTGAGAAGCCAGCATGTAGGCTTGAGCTTCTCTGTGATGTTCACTGGCTGTCTTGTGAAATGATTTGTTGGTAGTGTTGTCCTGTTTCTTAATGGTTTGAAGGAATTGTTTGTACAGTTGAGTACGTGTGCACATGGCAGATTATTTTTATACTCTTGTGCTTGTCCTTTCACTCTCTGTAAGTATCTTCTTTTTTTTTTTTTGGGTCCGGTTGTGGGGCCTGAACTCTGGGCTTGAGCGCTGTCCCTCAGCTCTTCAGCTCAAGGCTAGCGCTCTACCACTTGAGCCACAGCGCCACTTCCGGCTTTTTTCTTTTTGCTTATGTGGTGCTGAGGAATGGAACCCAGGGCCTCAGGCATGCAAGGCAAGTGCTCTACCACTGAGCCACCTTCCCAGCCCTGTAAGTATCTTCTTTATTGGTGGTTTTTAGACAGGATCTCTATGCAGCCTGTGGTTGTAAACTTACTATGTAGCTCGGGCTGGCTTGCAATTTAAAGTCTTGAAGCCACAGACTCACAAGTATGGGGGTTGCCGACATGGACCACCAGCCCAGCCCAGCAGTATCTGTGCATCTGTGAAAGGTTTGTATTTTAATGTAGCTTAGTTGGTCGGCAGTTCCAGAAATGTTTAGTGCTAGGCTGGGGTGGTGGTGTGTCTCAGTGGTACAGTGACTGGAAATGGATGGTCTTTCCTTTGCTCCGCTGATGTTTTGTCCTCTTTGCACAGATCTCATGTCTAAATTATGGGGTTTGTCTCGACATCTGCTAATTTAAATCCTCTCCCTTAGGTGCACGAAGGCACATTCTTACAATCCTAGCACTTGGGAGGCTGAGGCGGGAAGATTATGAGTTGGAGGCCAGTCTGACATACAATAGCAGGACCCTAAAAACAACCACAGAGAAGATTTCCTTAGTTAACCTTGACCCTTTACATTTTCAGGAAAGTTGTGGAGTCTGAGCTGTGTGTGGTCTAGTGCACGCCTGAAATCCCAGACCCTGGGAGGTTGAGTGGCAGAGTAAGGTCTGCACAGTGAGACACTGTCTCAAAAACACACGCCAAAGTAGAATGTGCTGGCACTCTGCAGGAAAAAGTGCTGGGATTTAAGTGAGATTGTTTTGATATATAGACTGCTGTGGGGAGAAAAGAGATGTTGTTAGTATTGATCTAGTCCACACAAGGAAGTACCTGTGTAATTGTTTGCTAGTGTAAAACCAATGTTTTGCACATTTAGCAGTTCTTCTTTCCTGTTTTTCCTTTTCAAGTGCCCTGACCAGTCCCTTGCCTTGCGATACTTTACTGAAGCCTTCGGTACGTGTGGGTGGGACAGAGTGGGGACAAGAGTCCTGTCTTGCTTGTGGTGTTGGGATGCTTCCCGAGTCTTGCCCATGAATGAGATGAGTTGGCAGCATTTTGCATATATTCTCAGAATTCTTTTTGATTCTCAAGTTTGCTAAGTGGTTTTTCTGGAAATGGGCTCACTGTGGCCTAGGCTGGTCACAAACTCGATCCTCCTGCATCAGCTTCCCAAGTGCTGAGTTAACAGGTACATACTGCAGTGCCCAGTTATGAACTCATGAATAACTGTAGAATATTCTGCATCTTTTGAGATAGTCAAAAGACTTTTAATGTGGTGATTTAGCATTTTAAAATCTCTAGAACAATCCCAACATTGTCTGTATATGTTCTTACTGTCTCTATACTCATGAGGAAGATTGGCCTGTACTTTTACTTCCTTGCTGAGTTTTGGCATTAGGAATCTACTGGACACTGTTTTACTTCCTTGCTGAGTTTTGGCATTAGGAATCCACAAGGTGGACACTGTTGCTTAGTTTTCTGTTCTTGGAAGGCTTTCTGTAAAGTTGGT